AATGCCTTTGCAAAGTCGATGTGAAGGGAAACCTTTATCTTTACATTTACCTATATGAGAGATGTCAGTTTGAGAGAGGCCTCAGTGGGAGAAAGGTCTCAGTGTTAGTAGGCCTCAGTTTGAGAAACTTCGGTGAGAGAAGCCCCCGGGGGAGAAGCTTCAGTGTTGCGTGTATAAAGCTACTGTGCAAAGCACCTGTGTAACTTCAGTGTGAGAACCAGCTCTGTGAGAGTGAAGCTGTTCATCTGCATGAGAAAGAAGCCCAGGGTGGTGCTCATCTCCATTTCTAAGCCGAAGAGCCGGCGTTGTCCGTAGACACCTCCAAGCTCATGTTACTGGCATGATTGCATGGAACACCGTTACCTTCCCCTATTGATCTACTCACCTTTGCATGTTTTCGAACTGCTAGGTTGGCAGAAGCTGGGGCTGACAGTGGGAGCTCACGCTGCTTCCCAGATTTGAACCTACAACCTTTTGGTCAACAAGTTCAGCAGCTCAGTGCTGCCATCGGGGGCTCCAGCTCAAGGTTAGTTCATCCTCAAATGGCTAAACAAGGGCTTGGATCCTCTTCATAACCACAAAATAAACAGTAGCAGGAGAGCATGCAGTGGAGAACCATGATGCTCAAGAGATGGCTGCTGTATTCCTACCAAAGGCTGAGCATGTGTTTGTGACATAAACCAAGAAAATACATTATTGGAAATAACAGAGCGGTGTCCCTCTGAATGTCAAACTGGAATGCTCTCGCTGCGGGTGAAAAGCGGCAAGAAAAAGGCGGGTGAGGACTTAAAACGGCTGTGGCTCGAGGGATGCAGCGTTGCCACCAAGGTCCCTCCAAGCCAAAGACATCAAGTTCAATGCTCCAAGAGGCCTCAAAAAAGCAGGCTCTCCCTCTGGGTCGGGGAGGTGGAAGCAATTTCCAGTTGCTGGCATTCAGCAGAGAAACATGTCTGAAGGGGAGGCGACAGGCGAGCGAGGCGTCCATGTCTTATTTCCTGTTTACAAGGCAATCGCTAGCAGCAGCTGTTTGGCATCTGTCTCATTTGAAGCCCGAAAGGAGATAGGAAGTGACACGGAAAAGAGATGCAACCCGGACTGACTGACACTCAAAGGCACTGGATAATAAACACGAAGCAGAGAAAAGCCACTTACGTTGACCAAGCCAAAGTAATGCTCATTCATGGGAAACTGCTCCGGACCAATCTCTTTCTCCAAAGCGGAGGCATTGGCGCCCTGCAAAGACAGAAGAACAGCTGGTGAACAAAGGTAGGAAATGGGTGAATAAAAAGTATATGGTGTTGACCATTTCCGCTCCCTTGGCAGCCACCTCTCCACAAAAGTCAACACTGACACTGAAATACAACACCA